AAGGAGGGGCGGCAAGGGCCGTTAAAACTTTCAGTCAACCAGTGCAGACTGCTCTAGCACTGTTGGGCTCTCATTCCCCAAAATTTGAAAAGTCCTTTCCTACCCACCTCACACAAGCCCCCGTCCAAGTTTCACCACCCCTCGTTTCATGTGTGGTTCATAATAAAATATTCGTTTCTGTTAATTACTGTTTCCATGATTTTCTTTTGGAGGAGAGTCTGTCTGAAGGGGGGGAAGGGGCTTGGTAATTGGACAGGACAGTCACCTTTAGCAGGGTACAGAGGCGGGGGCAGGTCCATCATCAGGACACATACACAATGCAGTCACTAGTTGCCCTGGTCAGTCTGGGAGGTGGTTTTCATGTTCTGTGGGGGGGGGGGAGGGTAGCTCTGTGACTTTGTGGCGGGGGAGGGCAGTTACAGATCTTATGCAGCGGTCCTTATCCTAGATCACAGAGCCACGCAGCATGGGATCTGTAACCCTCCTCCCCCTGCCAGAAAGTCACATATCCGACACATACACGCAGTCCCGCCCAGGAGTGCTGGCAGGCTCCGTTGAAACAACCAGTCCACCAGTGCGGAGCCTGTCATTCCGGGAGTTTAGAAGCATAATTTGCATCAGAACACTAAACCCGCCCCCCGCCACAGTCTGCGTCCCCGGTTTAAAACATTCCCGCGAAAACAGTAATAAAGACAACGGTGTTCATTAACAACAAAACAGAACAGATTTTATTTTTTGGGAAGGGGGTGAAGGGGGTATGTAGCTGGAGAGGATAGTCAACATAAACTGTGTAAAGAAACGGGGGCAGGTTCAGCTTCTCTTTAAACAAAGTTAATAGTCACAGGTTACCCTGCTCACTGAGGAACCTAGCTTTCAAAGCCTCCCGGATGCACAGCGCGTCCCGCTGGGCTCTTCTAATCGCCTGGCTGTCTGGCTGGGCGTAATCAGAAGCCAGGCTATTTGCCTCAACCTCCCACCCCGCCATAAAGGTCTCCCCCTTGCTGTCACAGAGATTGTGGAGCACACAGCAAGCTGCAATAACAATGAGGATATTGGTTTCGCTGAGATCACAGCGAGTCAGTAAGCTTCCCATCTCCCCTTGAGACGGCCAAAAGCACACTCCACCACCATTCTGCACTTGCTCAGCCGGTAGTTGAACAGTTCTTTTTCTGTGTCCAGGGCGCCAGTATAGGGCTTCATGAGCCAGGGCATTAGCGGGTAGGCTGGGTCCCCGAGGATCACTGTAGGCATCTCCACATCCCCAAGAGTTATTTTGTGGTCCGGGAAGTAAATACCTTCCTGCAGCCATCTAAACAGACCAGAGTTCCTGAACACGCGAGCGTCATGAACCTTGCCAGGCCATCCGACGTTAATGTTCGTAAAACGTCCCCTATGGTCCACCAGTGCTTGCAGCACCATTGAAAAGTAGCCCTTTCGGTTGATGTACTGGCTGGCCTGGTGGTCCGGTCCCAGGATAGGGATGTGAGTCCCATCTATAGCCCCACCGCAGTTTGGGAATCCCATCGCGGCGAAGCCATCTATGATGACCTCCATGTTTCCCAGGGTCACTACCTTTGAGAGCAGTAGCTCAACGATTGCGTTGGCTACTTGCATCACAACAACCCCCACGGTAGATTTGCCCACACCAAATTGGTTCGCGACTGACCGGTAGCTGTCCGGCGTTGCAAGCTTCCAGAGGGCTATGGCCACTCGCTTCTGGACAGTCAGGGCTGCTCGCATCCGGGTGTCATTGCGCTTCAGGGCAGGGGACAGCAAGTCACAAAGTTCAAGGAAAGTCCCCTTCCGCATGCGAAAGTTTCGCAGCCACTGGGATTCATCCCAGACCTGCAGCACTATGCGGTCCCACCAGTCCGTGCTTGTTTCCCGGGCCCAGAATCGCCGTTCCACAGCATCAACATGACCCATTGCCACCGTGATGTCCTGGGCGCTGGGTCTCGTGGTTTCTGACAGCTCTGCGCTACTCTCCGACTTCAGGCCCTCACGGCGGTGCCGTAGCCTCCTCTCCTGATTTCTCTGCATCTGCCTCAGGGAAAGGTGTATGATAAACTGCGAGGCGTTGAGAACGGCCACAACTGCAGCGATGGTCGCAGCGGGATCCATGCTCGCAGTGCTGTGGCGTCCGCGCTGTCACTGATCAGAAAAGTGCGCGAACTGATTTCCCGCCGGCGCTTTCAGGGAGGGAGGGAGGGCGGTAGTGACGGACGGATGACGACAGTTACCCAAAAGCACCCTCGACACATTTTTTTACCCAGAAGGCATTGGCGGCTCGACCCAGAATTCCAATGGGCAGCGGGGACTGCGGGAACTGTGGGATAGCTGCCCACAGTGCACCGCTTCCAATGTCGACGCTTGCCCCGTTAGTGTGGACTCACACAGTCGAATTACTGTCCTTAGTGTGGACACACACGTTCGACTTTGTAATATCGATTCCACATATTCGATTTAAGTGAAATCAAACTACCCTCGTAGTGTAGACATACCCTTATTTTCTACTTACAATAGGCATATATTTTCTAGTCATACTTTAATAAGGAAGGACAAAACAGCAAATCTTAGTAGTAGTTTTTTCAAAACTACTTCAGCCCAATTCATACTTGCTCTACCGATGCATAAGGTAGTCTAATGTAAGTCACCTAACATCACTTCTGAATTTGGCCCTAAATGTGCATATGCAATGTGTAATATTTTACACTTATACACACAGATTTTACATTTTTCCGGTTTCTATTATAACTCCTTATTTTCCACTTATTTGAGTTTTTAATATTTAGATCTTTTGGGATGAAAATTTCTATATTTGGTGTCTGCCTGAAGTAGAAATCTGATTATTTTGAACAAAATCTTCAGGCATTTTTCTGCGTTAGAAAATATTCTAGCTGTATTTTTTAGAAATGGCTCCAGCAGAAGTCACTAAATTTCAAAACCTGAACGCTGTCCTCGTTGAGGCGTTATCAGTGTTGGAGAGTTAGGCCCTGATCCTGCAAAAAATTATACCTGTGCTTAGCTTTACTGTGTTATTGGTCCCTTTTGAAGTCCTCAGGACTACTTGCATTGTTTGAAGGATGTGCATGAAGTCTTTGGACTATCATGACCTTCATTTTTTGTTTCCCCACTTTGCATTGTTTCAATTGTGTGACTTCAGCATTACTTAAAGGAATTTTTATTAAATATAAATCCTTCATTGCAGTCCCATGTAAGTATTAGTGCCTGTATCTTGTGTAACAGGAGTTTTGGATGTTGAAGAAATACAAGACTGGATCCACTGTGTACACGAAATGTACTATAATTGTCTCATGCAAGTATATTTCAGCATACATTCAACATAGTAAATAGATGTGAGAAACAATAGTTGAAAAGTTCTCTTTTGCTTGAACTTTGATTTATAAAGGAAAATTCTGCTAATTCCAGTGGGATACGACTAGTGACTTCTAATTCAATTGCTTGTGCATAAAGATGTAACATGGGATCATAAGATGAAAAAGGGTACTCTTGCCTCAGCTGAATCAGACAAAATACAGTGCTTAAGCTGTTAACTAATACATGACATGACTGCTGCCAAGATTATGCTGCTCATTTATAAAGGTTGGGGATGACTCAAAGGCAGCACATGTTTCACATTAGTGCCCAGAGGCAATTACTGTTTACATCATGACAATGTCAATTATCACCTACAGCACTTCTGCAAGGAATAAAATGGTACTGACAAAGATATAATTATTTGGCCATTTGCTTCTTTACTACTTCAAATGTCAGTGTCTGAGTTGTTTCTCCAGTGATGTTTTTATGGCCATATTTTCTCTCAGCTAAAATGGTATGAAAGCTACAGTCTCTTCCCACTTGAGTATTGGGGAAATATGTTGTTTAAAGCAAAACCTCTTCCTGTGTGACCTTTGATACTGAGCTAGATTTGGGGGGAGTTTCATGGTCTGAAATTGTTTAGCTTCCATACTGTTACATTTTTATTTTAAATTTACATGTTAACATGGCTTAGCCATCCCCAACAGTTGTGCTAAAGAGTCAAGGACTTTGGAAGTGTATATTAGAGCCATTGCTGAAAGCCAGTCATTAGTGGTGCCATTTGGATGGAATAGAAAAATAGTAATATAAAATTTCAGTGTCACTCATTACTGTGTCAGCATAGAGAGGCACTAAGTAGTGGAAGAACTAAGTTGTAATCCTGGATGTAGCAGTAGGTCTCCAAGACAACATGAGTTTCAAGTGCTACATAAGAAAGCTGTAAATGTGCTCACAGTTCCTACTATTGGCTTCCAGCCGTGTCAGCTTCTGTGACTATTAATATTATGTGCAATTATGTACATTCTAAACTCAGCCTTTTTATCAGCTCAGTTCCTAAGCATCGTCACACACAAACCCCCACTAGAACTGCTGCTAATTGGTGCTATTCTTGACATTGCTGGCAGAGGTATTGAGGAGCCAGTGGGCAGGGAGTCTAAATTTTTCTCACTCCCAGAAGTGGCTCTCTAGATCGGAGTTGTGGCACATTGTCATGGTGTGATGATGATGTAAAAAGTTACACTCCATTTGCTGGTTATTCTATGTATAGAGAATTTTGTTTTCCAGGGATGTTAGTCTGGTACCTCTTACAATAAGTAAATTTTGAACAAAGGTGGTAGCTTTACTTTCTTGATTCCTGATTCAGGAATCATATTAGTGATTCATTTAATGTAGAATCTGGAAGGGGAATAAGCTTATTAATAACAAAGTGTTTCTCCACCCTCATTGGATCTTTCTGCCCGCAGACAGAATCCATCTAGCTTCCAGGTTGAGCTGGTCAAAAATTTTCTGATGGAATGTTTCCCATCCAAAAACAACAGTTAATTGAAACAGAAACTTTCCAAGGGAACATGTTTCAACAAAATTTCATTGATCGACAATTGAATATTAAATTGATCCAATAAAAGATATTACCTCACCCACTTTGTCTCTAATATCCTGGGACCAACATGGAGACAATAACACTGCATAAAAATTAATATGGGGTTTAACAAGGTTGAAAAATCCATTTTGGTGGTTTTGGAATGGAAATCTTTAGTAAAAGGCGAAAGATTTATACGATCTGAAGAGAAACCAGATTTCAATCTTCATTTTTATTAAAAAAAAAAAAAAAAAGACAAAATTGAAACAAACCACTTCTACAGACAACATTTTTTTTAAAACATTGTTCAGTGGTAAATTTCAAATTTTTGTTTTTATTCCAATTTGGAATTAAATAAATCTTGAAATTGTGGAATATTCTGCAAAACAGAAATTCCAGTTCTTGCACAGCTCAATTTCCAGGATGCAAATATGTTTTTTTTTCAGGGGTGTCTTGCAGTTTCCCTGGTCTTTTGCACAATGGAAAATTATTTTGCTCAGTCAGATCCTTTCCCTTCTTTGCAGCCATATTCCCAAAGGAAAGGGAGAGTAAAGCAAATAATGGGGGATGGAGAGACTAAGTTTAAAAATCTCACTACTTAAGAGATATTCCAACTCTTCAAACTGGAAAACTTTTGTAGACTTGAAGTGAGAACTCCTACCTGTTTTAACTGCCAATGATGAACTTACGCGTGCTGCTTGCTGGAACACACGAAGCAATTTTGAATATATATTCTATGCTTTATAGTATAAAATGTTGAATTTCTTTGACAGCTTCATATGAATTTTACATGCATTTCTGCACCAACAAAAAGCAATGTCAATCAAATGGAGTGATTATGCATCAAAATATTGCTTATTGACAGTGGTTCTTAAAGTTGCAAGATATGTTTTTATCTCCCCCCATAATAAGGGCTGAAAACCTAATTATTACATGCATAATAGTCTGAGCTGAGTCATTCCTACAGCTGTTTCTCTTTCTGAATGTAGATAATTGTTAAGAGTAGCAATCATAGCTCTTGTTAAAATGGAAAATACCAAATTGCTCTGAGAATCACCATGAAATAAATTTGAGTTGGGCCTTTCTAAAAAACACATTCTAAGTAAGCTAATCTGTTTGCTGCAAAGCTAGTATAACAGCCACTCCCGTCCACAGTAGCAGAAGAATCAGACTTCAATAGCTCCAGAAATGAACCAGCAAGGACTGCAACTTGACCTTTAGCCATTAGGACATACAAAAAGATTTGATCTATCCCAGATCACTGAATGTAGATGGAATTCCACTATTACTTTGTTTTACTCTGCTCAATCTATCTACATTGGGTAACTTTTGCAAAACTGATTTATAAGAAAGTTAATGTTTAAGGATAATTGTTGCTGGCATGAAAAATTAAACACTTATTTGATAACAATTTGATATAATTTGCATTATAAGGTTTTACAGGACAAAGAAAGTAGTCCAGATACAGAGTATGTGTTTGTTCTCTGTATTTTTTTAAAAAGATAAAATTGACCAGTTTCATCCAGTTTTTAGTGGGTTGGCCAGAGCCCAGAAATTAGATGGAAGAAAAGCTTGTTGAGTTAATTTAAATAATGCAGGAACACATGGTATAACCTGTTCTTCAAAACAGTGCCAGACAATTAGTGGAGTTGACGGTTTAAGGATATAGCCTTGTTGGAAAGCCTGATTATTAATACATAAAGAAGGGGAGAAGAATATGATCAGTTCAAATTGCTACCCTTTGACTGTTTTAAAGATTGTGAGGAGAGATCCCTGTTTACAGGGAGCTCCAAGATCTTAAGAAATTATGTAGTTTTTACCAAGACATGTATTACTATAGGTCTAGGTCTACACTGCAATTAAAAACCTGTGGCTGGCCATGCCAGCTGACTTGGGCTAGGGCTAAGGGGCTGTTTAATTGCAGTTAGTCTGGGTGATATAGAGCCAGGGAGAACTTCAAGTCCAGTAGCCTAAATAAAGAATGCCCTTTATATTATTTACAACAACTCTGTCTCCTTGTTATTGAGAGATCCTGCAATAGCCAGTTTGCCTGCGTATGTCATAGATTGTGTACATCTAAACAAGTTCCTTTGGATGTTATCACGTTTAAGATTATACTTATTCAGAAACTTGTAGTTTTCTTACGTTTTTTCAAACTTCAGATGCTTACAATACTTAAATTGAGCCTTTGTCCCAAACAAGCTGATTCCTAACTAAAGCTGGGTCCATAGACCATAAGCCATTTTAGTTCAAATAAATGATTGTCTTGATTTCTTTGCCCACCTTAATAAGATGGGTGAACAGTAAAGAAATACTCTTGTGTATTTTAAAACATAGCACATTCAAATAAGTTTTGCATGAATATTATTTGACCACCTCTATCATTCCTATTTTTTGGTTAGTTAATTACTTTATGAACCTTTGAATTTCTAGGCTAAACTGGAATTGGTAATGCAGCACCCAAAATACCATGAGAAATCCTCTCTGTGGTGTTATAGGCCAACTGGAATAGAAAAACAGTAGAAACCTTACTCAAAAGCCTTACCACGTGAATTTCCAAGCCCAGATCTGTTTATTTGAATAGGTTCAAATAAGTATCAGAATCTTTTGAACTTTACTGGCTAATAGTAAAAAAACCAAAATAAAATAAAATAAAAACCTAGTAATGTGAATGTAACTGAGTCAACAACCATCTCCCATGAGCATCCCCTTATGGCTGAAAAGTGCCTGCAGTCACTTCGTTTTGAAACAGAGTGGCGCCTACCTTTCATGAACACCCTCCTTCTGGTTGGGTGTGAGCTTGCTTTTCTTTGAGTTCTTACAATAGGGTGGCACCTGCCTCTCGTGAGCACCCCCATGGCCAATGGCTGTTTGGTGGGTCTTCGGTGACTCAGTCCTCTGGTGGAGTCACACTATCCCCCCTTCTGGACTATACAGTCTCTAGTTCTTTCTTTCAGCCCTGGTATGGGGCTGTAGCACCAAGGCTTCCTTCCCAGAGGCACTGCCTTCTTTAACAGCCCAACAGGGGCCCATCTCGGTACCCTCAGTTAGTATCCTTTCAGCAGCCTTTCTTGGGCTCGGTCTTCAACCAGACAAGCAGGGTCCATCACAGTACTCTCTGGTTTGGCTGGGTTCTCGGCTCAGCCTGTCCGCATTGATCTGTCCATGTCCTGCTAATCTTCCAGCCAGCCAGGCACCTGGTCTTTGGCAGCCTTCCCTCTGCTCAGTCCTGCCTGTAGTAAACTGTCTGCAGGCCTGCTGCTCTTCCAACCAGCCAGGCACCCGGTCCACCCTCTTCAAGCTCCAGGCAGTAACTGACTGCTCTGCCTCTGCTGCTTCCTTTTATAGGGCCCTTCTGGCCCCTGATTGGTCGCTCCAGCAGCCCCTGTAGGCTGCCTGTAGGACTTCTCCTCTGTTCTTTTCTGGGGCGGGGTGAGGCAGGGCTGCAAGGTCTCCAGCAGAGGGCCTCTGGACCTAGTCCACCCCGTCACAGTGAAAAAAGGGAATGAATTGTGCTGTATTGTACTGTAGACACAGTAGAACCTCAAAGATACAAATACCAGAGTTACGGACTGACCAGTCAACTGGACATCATGTGAAACCGGAAGTAACCAATCAGGCAGCAGCAAAGACCAAAAAAAAAAAAAAGCAAATACTGTACTGTGCTGTACTGTGCCTATATATATTGCATTTTAAAGGTAGCCACATGTGGGCTGCCTGTCCCCATCACCACCCGCACACGTGGGGAAGCCACTTACATCTAGGAGTGAAGATGCTGGGGCTGTCAGCCCAAGGCAACTGGCAGAGCACGAGCAGCACTGGGGTCTGTGCTGCTTTCACCCCTCTCCTTCTCCCCTGGATAGGAGGGGGCACTGTTTTCACCCCTCCTCTCCCAGCCGGAAGGGGGACATGGTTGCAGTCTGACCCAGGAAAAGAAGCTGCCTGCAAGGAAGCTGCTAGCACTTAGGAGGGAGTTCTGCTGCTGCTGGAACTTGGCTTGGAGTGACAGCTGCTGGAACTGGAGCCTGAACTGCACTTTGTTCAGAGTTATGAACATTTCAGAGTTACAGACAACCTCCATTCCCAAGATGTCTAAGTCTGAGGTTCTACTGTACAAATAAATACCCATTTTGCTTGGAATTTTTTTTTCTTAAAGTGTAGGATTTACTTCATTTTTCATCTGAGATCAGAGGCAAGAGCTCATGACACATTTCCATAATTAAATAACTCAAAATTAGAAAAACTTTTCTCAAACTCCTGAGAAATTTTGGTTATGACTCAGAACAATTCCACATCTTGCAGTTCTTATTTTCATTGTATGAGCTTGTGTTTGCAGACCAAAACCTTTGAGGTTGAATATCACCCTTCCAGGTCAAGTAAGGATTAACTCAAAAATGCAATAATGAAGCTACACTCTGAGAGACCATTGCTACTATCTGTCCTTTGCACTATGTATCACAGAAAGTTGTTCTGACACAAATACAAACTGAAGGAGTTTGAATACAGACATATGTTACAAACCGCCTGTATTGTATATATTCATTACAAGAAGCAAGAAAGACCATACTGTGCCCCCTTGCAGTGTAAGATTTCAGAAAAGATAGAATCCTTCAAATTTCAGTATGCTCCCTTGTCCTTATTATCTTTGGTGCTGGTTTTATCGTCTTGCACACAGTCAGCTTCCGCACCTCACAGACTCAACAGCCTTTTAAAGAGTAAGCCAGTAGTTCTTTTCTGTAGCCTCTTGTCTGTTTCATTTCATGATTTTTTTGTGTTTTTGCATGCTTTTATTTAGCGGATGTGACTGCTCTCTACACATTTTAACCTAGGTTCCTGGGCTCAGTGTAGGTCTGTAGGCCTTCACAAGCATATATTCCATTACACATTCAGTCTCCGAAAAAAGGAGAAAAATGTGAAATGAAATTACTGAATAATATGCTAGATAGTTTCTGCTTCTTCAGTATCTCTTTTACATTACAATAGCATCTAGAGCACCCAAACATGATCAGGACCCATTATGCTAGGCACGGTACAGACCAAGGAAATGCCCTGTCCCGGAGACCTTCCACTATGAATATGCAAGACAAACAAAGGGTAGGAGAAAGGGAGTATTTTACAGATGAGGAACTGAGGCAGGGATAAAATGATTTTCCAAAGGTTATACAGGGCATATATGACAGAGTTTAGAATTGAACCCAGATCCATTTTCTAGTCCAGTGCC